ATGCATTGTTAATAGCCTGCCAGACTGTTAATCCCCACTCTAAAAGGATAAAATGCAGACGTTTTCAAAGCCGTGTGACCTGAGTTTGAGAGCAGAGACCTGAAATCTGTAGTGGCTCAGTGGCTCGGCTGCAATCTGACCGACCTTGTGCTCAATCACCTGCAGAGAGAGTGGCTCAGAGAACCTGGGGCTTAAGGAGCAGCCTTGCCTGCTGCTTGTGTCACCGCTGCTGCCTCTAACTCCTGGGCCACACAGAATCTACGAGCAGATCAGGCTCTTCCCTCCTCCACAGGTCCTCCCCCAGGGCCACACTTCTCCAAACCGAGCATCTTCAGTTCTTCCAGCCTCCCCACCCCAGCCCGTGCCATGCACCTGAGTGCCTCAGCTCCCGGGCGGCTCTCCTGGGCCCCCAGGTCTCTCCCTCTCATGCTCACTTACAACTGAGCACCCTTGCCATGGGCTGATCAGTGCAGAGGCACTGGAGCCACCTCCTCCTCCTACCACGGCCCCTCCCTGCCGCTGGGCCTTCTTTTCCTACCACCCTTCTGCTGGCCTGCTCCCCTCCAGCCTCAGGACTTTGCACTTACTTTAATCCTTCAAACAGGATCTGGCACCAGCTGTCGTGATTATTCATTGCATACTGAATACTAGAAACTGTACTTGCATTATTGAAGCATAAGATAAAAGCAGCTTTTCTGGAGACTACACCAACCTGTTATTGATTCTGGGATTATGGACAACTAAAACCACTCCGTCTTTTGTATCAATTGCTATGATCCGTACCTACTGTATATCAGCATGGGTGCTTTTTGGACCCAGGTGCAGGAACTTACAGTCTCTTAAACTGGATTAGTCGATTATCCAGTAAACACTGATTGAGCATCTTCTCTGTGCCAAGCACTGTTCTTTGTGCTGAGGATAGAGCGGTGACCAAGCCAGACTCGTTCCTGCTTTCATGGAACTTACATTCTAATAGTAAGTGATTGACTGACATTAAACACGGAAGCTCCAGCTAGACATGAGTGTTCCGGGAACATAGGCAGGTGCTGTGATGGGAATACCTGGGGGCTTGGAGGCAAGAGGTTCCTTCAGATGGCACCGACTTCCCCCGGAGCAGAAGGCTGGTGAGCTGAGATTTGCAAGGCATTCGGGGATCTGCTCTTCAAAGGAAACTGCTGATAGAAGTCACTTAAGGCACATCCAGAAATGAATTCTCTTTCACAAAAGATGGTAAGGATAGCATGAAACAGTGGAATCCAGAAACCACATTAGCAGCTGCTAGTCCTAGAGGATGGTTGCTATACTCTAAAATGGGGTGTTTTCTCCACTCTCCATCTGTGGTTCTTGGTAAACGTGCTGAGAGAAAGTGGGCAGTTGGAGAAGGCCCTCTTTCCTGACTACAAAAAAAAAGGATCAAAGTGGCAACCTCTCAACCCCACTGCAAACAGCCACAGCGATGAGCAGGAGACTTTGCAGGCTTGCCCTGGTCTGGGGTGCGTGTGCTCAGCACCGGCCTCTCTCATTCCAGACAGCTCTGCAGGCTGAACCCTGTAGCTGGGTCGTGGCCAAGAGGCCAGCAGAAGCCTGCGACTGTGAGAGGAAAATAACAGGGAGGGACCCCTCCAGAAAATACAGGGAAAGGCCAGCTCAGGAAACAGAGGAAGACCGAGTGACCAAGCCGACCCTGCCATCACAGCTCTTCATGGGCTAGTGCACGTTGCCCAGCCACACTTTCACGTGCATCCACATTTCTGGAGCTGAACATTTAGTGAGAATGTAAGAGGAAAAAAAATTAGACCCAGAAATATGCTCATACGCATACAATTTTGCACAACTGTGGAGGTTCAAGGATACCTAAATCCTGGATGCAAACCGTGGCTCCAGGTTATTCTAAAATTTGAAGCCCCAAAGAGAAGAGTCAAGCGACTTCCTTTTTTTTTTTTTTTTTTTTTTTTTTTTTTGGTCTTTTGTTCTGAAGTTTCTTACTCTAAGGAAAATGTCAGTGAGAGTCAAAATTTTTATTTTTACCCGAGTTAGCTTAGGGGCTTATAATTTGAAATATTAGACGGCATTACACATGTTCGTATTGTTCCTCTTAACATTACCCTTCGTCCCTACGCACTTCATGTGTCTTTGATATTTGTAGCAATCCTCGCTGAAGTCATTTACAATGGAAGGTTTTTGTTCTTGTTGTTTTCCCTCAAGCGACTTCTTTTTTTTTTTTTTTTTTTCATCTTTATTGGGGTATAATATAATTGCTTTACAATGGTGTGTTAGTTTCTGCTTTATAACAAAGTGAATCAGTTATACATATACATCTGTCCGCATATCTCTTCCCTCTTGCGTCTCCCTCCCTCCCACCCTCCCTATCCCACCCCTCTAGGCGGTCACAAAGCACCGAGCTGATCTCCCTGTGCTATGCGGCTGCTTCCCACTAGCTACCTACCTTGCGTTCGGTAGTGTATATATGTCCATGCCTCTCTCTCGCTTTGTCTTTTTAAAACAACCATCAGGAGGGACAAAAGCCACGAGGCATCTGAAATCTCACCGGGTTCCTTAGGAGAGCCTAAGCACAGCACACTCACCCCTCAGGCAATGAGAAGGCAGTGAGTTTTCCAGAAAGCTCGTCATGTCTGTTTAATTCATCCTCTGCCCCACTGTTTCAGCGATACAAACATTTTATGTTTAACACACGCGTGTACGTGCGTGTGTACGTGCGTTTATACGTGCAGCACCTGTGCTAATGGGGGTGAGTGGTGCCTTGAATCTGACATGTGCTCCAGAACCAGTTCATCAGCTGGATGAATATGCGTGTTGGTACCTGTGCGTATTAGTTGCTTTTACTGGGAAGCATCTCCCAAGGTCAAAAGAAAAATAGAGAAAAACTATTTTTTACCCCCCTCTCCTTTCACTTCACAATGTTAGAAACCAGAGGGATATGGAATCTAAATCCTGGGTTGCCAGCTTCCCCCTGTTCAGCAGAAATGGAACAGGAAGATGCCGGCACCTACAAGCTATGGCCCGGAGAAGCGGAAGGTGGAGAGAAAGCTAGCAGGCTGGGTCACTCTTGCAGGAGCCAGGGTGGGCTGAGCACAGAGACAAGATGCCCCTGCTTCAGCTGGAGTAGAGAGCAGCTTTTTAGGGGCTTGGTTCAGAGGCACCCTGGTGTCCTTCACCCTTGCCTCCCAGATGGAAATTTTCATCAGTGCCCTTGGTTGCCTGGGAAAAAGCCAATCCTCCGAAAGGAGCTCTAGTGCTTAATTTACCTCATATCACACATTTGATAATTATGTTCATAAAATTTAAATTTCATATCCAACAGGCCAGTTTCAGATTGCTTTAAGCATTTTCTTTTTCATTTTTGAGTGCCGTTTCCCCCCCATTTAGGTAACTTTTTATAATTTTAATGA